CAAAGAGCACCACTCGGTAACCTAACCTGTAAGTCTCTTGTCTCCCTGGTGCCTAGGGGGAAAGTGCATAGGGAGCACTTGTTAAACTGTGATAAGACTGGAGCAGTTATAGAAATGCTGGGTATGTACTAAGAATTTTGCTGTGTATAGGATAATCCCATGCAAGAAGATTTTGCTCCAAATTTCAGTTAATTTCCTTCTGACATTTTCTAACCTTAAGCAAAACATTGCTGTCTGCCCCATGAATTTAGCATTCAAACCATTTTGTGTATTACTCATCTCACCAAAGCTCCTTGATACTAGAAATTGACTTTTTCATCATTGCATTTCCACTTTTTAAAATTCAACTTTAGGGGGTGGGGCATAGTTCAGTGGTAGAGTGCTTTGTCTAGGAGGCCTTGGGTTTTACCTCCAGCACTGCAAAAATAAATAAACAAAAATAGTTTTTAATTTTTACTCATTGAATATAGAAAACATGTCTTTATGGAGGGAGGGAAAAGGGTCATGGATAGAATTTAAAAGTTTAGTAAATCTTTAATATGTTACAGAGTTTAGATAAAGCTAGAGTAGATGAACTAATCTCCCTGGGGCCTTGGGACTAGCTACAACTCTATTTTAAAGTACTTTATGAGCTGTAAAGTATAGTACAAGAGTGTTTACATAGAATGTCTAGGGGCTGGGGTTGTGGCTCAGTGGTAGAGACTTCACTTAGCATGTGCAAGGCCCCGGGTTCGATCTTCAGCACCACACAAAAATAAATAAATTAAGGTATTGTGTCCAACTAAACTAAAAAATATTTTTTTTAAGAAACAGAATGTCTAGGACCATATTTGTTCCTAATTATTATTTCTGGAATTTCAAAATCTACAATTTAAAAAGAGCACAATATAAAGAAGATAGTTTAGCATAAAAGGCATGTGTTTGTGTAAGTACAAGAATAGCAAAAAATAGATATGTGTTACATGTATATGTCATAGAATAGTAATTTTTTAACTTTTTGTACTGCTAGTTAGCTTTTCATTGCTGTGACAAATACCTGAGAAAAATAACTTAAAGGAGAAAAGATGTATTTGGGTCATGCCTTCCAGAGATTTTAGTCCATGGTCAGCAGGTTCCATTTCATTAGGCCTGAGGCAAGGCAGAACATCATGGAGAAACAGCATGGCAGAGAAAAGCTGCTCAGCTCATGGTAGCCGGAAAGCAGAGAGAGGGAGAAAGAGAAAGGGACTGGGGATAACATATAGATATACATTCTCAAGGGCACATCCCCATGGACCACTCCCTTTAACCAGGTCCCACCTCCCATAGCCTCTACTTCCTCCCAGCAGTCCATTCAGCCTCAGTGAATTAACCCATTGAAAATGTCAAAGTCTTCATGATCTAATCATTTCCCCAAAGCCTTACCTTTGAACATTTCTACCCTTGGGACCAAGCCTTCAATAATTATTGTTTTCTGTCATAATACATTAGTCTGAACTTCCTAGAATCTTATGTAAACTAAATCGTAGAAGATGAGTTGTGTGTGTGTGTGTGTGTGTGTGTGTGTGTGTGTGTGTATGGTTCTGGAGATTGAACCCATGGCCTTGTGCAGGCAAGGCAAGCACTCTACCAACTAAGCTATGTTCCCAGCCCAAATATACTCTTTCATGTGACTTCTTTCACTCAGTATAACTACTCAGATTCATCCCCATTGCAACATATATCAATAGTACATTTCTTTTTATTGCTGAATAGTATTTCCATTGTATGGATATACCATGGTTTATTTATTCACATGCTGATGGACGTTTGAGTTGTTTTCATTTGGGAACTATTACAAATGAAGCTACTATAAATGCATGCAAGTCTTTATGAAAAAAGAGCTGGAAGAGAAGAACTGTATCATGTGGAGGGGATATGTGTAACACTTTAAGAAACTCTGGCTTTATTTTAACAGTTTCTATGAATGAGAAGATAGAATAGCAGTTCTCCTGAGAGGACCCACCATGCTAGTCATCTTCCTGGGCTACGTTTCTGGCACTCAGCTTGCTCTTACACGCTGTGCATCTAGAGTACCTCCCACTTTGGACACAATAACCTTTAATAACCTCATAATAATCTGTAAGATTATTATGTTTTAAAACCCAAGGCTAGATTAAGACCTCTGTAGTCCCAAACACTGAAAAAAATATTACCTCTTGCCAGGCACGGTGGTGCATGCCTGTAATCCCAGTAGCTCAGGATGCTAAGGGGATTGTGAGTTCAAAGCCAGCCTCAGCAAAAGCAAGGCAGTAAGCAACTCAGTGAGAACCTGTCTCTAAATAAAATACAAAATAGGGCTGGGATGTGGCTCAGGGGTTGAGTGCCCCAAGTTCAATCCCTGGTACAAAAAAAAAATAACCTCTTGCCTAAACATTAATTCAAAATCATTATGCAATGCTAAGAATATTTTATATTTATATTTGCATATATAATAAAATTCTCATTTTCTCCCACAAAAACAAGTTTGATTTTTTAAAAACCAATATATCAAATATCTGATTTCATCAAAACTAAATATTTCAGGTGCCTTTTTTTCACTGGGTTCTAAGCACACACATTAGTCTGCCTGGGTAGTCTTGAACAGCTTACTTCATGAAATAGGTTCTAACAGATTGGTTTTTCATTTGCCTGTTACCTTTCTTACTGCTATCACAGATGGAGCTGCCAGACACCCTTTATTGCTATTCACAGACCTGTGGATCGTACTCTTAAAATGGGCTTCTTCAACTAAGGAGATGAGTTTCAGCCTCGTGCCACCTTCTCACTCCTCCAGCCCTATCTTCAAGTGGGGGAAGATGCAGTTCCCTCAAATGGAGAAGGTATAGGTGTAAACTTAAAAAGGCCTACATCCATGACTCTGATGTTTGGATCTTCATTATCTTGCCTGTGCTTGTGAGGTTGAAGTAGAAATATCAATTTGTATCTAGCTAAAGGGAACAAATTGAGATAGAAGAACAGAATTTAGATGGTTAAGAGGTTAAGATTTATTTTTCATGTGAGTGTAAGTAGTTTCTCTGTCCCTCCACCTCTTTTTTTTTTTTTTTTTTTTTTTTGTGCTGGGGCTTCAACCCAGGGCCTTAAGCATGCCAAGCACACACTGTACTACTGAGGTACACTCCCAGCCAAGAAAGTATTATGAATTTTATGTATAAGAATAATGTATGAAGTTTCATTTTACTCTTTCAATGTGTAAAATGCCTTTATAAATGCCAGATATTATTTTTAGTCCTACAAAGGTTTGGTATATGGCATCTTGCCATAATATGCATATTATGGAATGGTGTATTTTGAGGATGTTAAATATTTTATTAATTGAGAAATCCATTTGCTTTTGATTTGCTTCAGTGCGTTTGCAGTATCGATAAAAGAAGAATTCTTACATCCCTCATTTATAGTCATCCTTTTGACAAGGATAATACATTAAAATGTCATTAAGCTGTTAAGATTTATTCTAAATGACATATAAAATTTCAAGCAATTGCTTTTCTTCGGTTGACTAGATGTTTTATTATCCTTTGAAAAAACATATTAAAGAGTTCAAATCCAGTTAACTCATGATATTTTTCTAAGTTTGCCATCATTGTGTGTACTTTTAGTTTTCCTTTATCAGAAAGATGATTGTAGAATTTATCACAAGACTTATCTTTTTAAAAGTTAACAGATACGCATTTAGTATAAATCTTTTTTTTTTTTTAATTTTTTATTGTGGGTTGTTCAAAACATTACAAATTTCTTTTTATTTTTATTTTTTTTTAATTTTTTATTGTGGGTTGTTCAAAACATTACAAATTTCTTGACATATCATATTCCACACTTTGATTCAAGTGGGTTATGAACTCCCACCTTCACCCCATACACAGATTGCAGAATCACATCAGTTACACATCCATTGATTTACATATTGCCATACTAGTGTCTGTTGTGCTCCGCTGCCTTTCCCATCCTCCACCCTCCCCCCTCCCCACCTCTCCCCTCCCCTCCCCTCCTCTCTCTCTACCCCCTCCACTGTATAACCCTGAGGCTCTCCTTCCATTACCATGCAATTTCCCTTCTCTCTCCCTTTCCCTCCCACCTCTCATCCCTGTTAAATGTTAATCTTCTTCTCCTGCTCTTCGTCCCTACTCTGATCTTAGTTACTCTCCTTATATCAAAGAAGACATTTGGCATTTGTTTTTTAGGGATTGGCTAGCTTCACTTAGCATAATCTGCTCTAATGCCATCCATTTCCCTGTAAATTCTATGATTTTGTCATTTTTTAATGCAGAGTAATACTCCATTGTGTATAAATGCCACATTTTTTTTTATCCATTCGTCTATTGAAGGGCATCTAGGTTGGTTCCACAGTCTTGCTATTGTGAACTGTGCTGCTATGAACATCGATGTAGCAGTGTCCCTGTAGCATGCTCTTTTTAGGTCTTTAGGGAATAGACCAAGAAGGGGAATAGCTGGGTCAAATGGTGGCTCCATTCCCAGCTTTCCAAGAAATCTCCATACTGCTTTCCAAATTGGCTGCACCAATCTGCAGTCCCACCAGCAATGTACAAGTGTACCCTTTTCCCCACATCCTCGCCAGCACTTGTTGTTGTTTGACTTCATAATGGCTGCCAATCTTACTGGAGTGAGATGGTATCTTAGGGTGGTTTTGATTTGCATTTCTCTGACAGCTAGAGATGTTGAGCATTTTTTCATGTACTTGTTGATTGACTGTATGTCCTCCTCTGAGAAGTGTCTGTTCAGGTCCTTGGCCCATTTGTTGATTGGGTTGTTTGTTCTCTTATTGTCTAATTTTTTGAGTTCTTTGTATACTCTGGATATTAGGGCTCTATTTGAAGTGTGAAGAGTAAAGATTTGTTCCCAGGGTGTAGGCTCCCTATTTACCTCTCTTATTGTTTCTTTTGCTGAGAAAAAACTTTTCAGTTTGAGTAAGTCCCATTTGTTGATTCTAGTTATTAACTTTTGTGCTATGGGTGTCCTATTGAGGAATTTGGAGCCCGACCCCACAGTATGTAGATCGTAGCCAACTTTTTCTTCTATCAGACGGCGTGTCTCTGATTTGATATCAAGCTCCTTGATCCATTTTGAATTCACTTTTGTGCATGGCGAGAGAAAGGGATTCAGTTTCGTTTTGTTGCATATGGTATAAATCTTTATTTGTAGTCTATCTTTTCAAGAAGGATTTGAGGTACTTATGAAGGATGTATATATACAACAAGGTTAATAAAAGGGAAATCAAACTCAAAACAAGGAAGACAAAGCAAAAATGCTAATCACAAAAGCATATATAGAGAATATAAAGTTAGCTCTGAGTTTCCCAGCAGTAGGGACAGAAAAATGGGGAATTCAGCAAATTACGTCATTGTTCTATAAAAGGTGGACATCAAATAATTTTGCAAGAACAGAAAGATCCCTGGTATTAAGTTGTAATATGAATTCCTTATGTGAATTTAACATTTAACATTCTAGGATGTGAGTAGAGAATTTTGACCAGTATTCCCACCTAGTAGACAGATCACTTTCCATATTAGTTCATATGATTTTATAAAACTATATCTTTTTTAAAAAATATTTTTTTATTTGTCAATGAACCTTTATTTGATTTATTGATCTGAGTGCTGAGAATCAAACCCCGTGCCTCACAAGTTGACAATGCAAAAGCAGTATGGCTCTTCCTTATAATAATTCTTCAAAAAAGGAAATCTATAAGACTCAATGATATTGATTCTGCTGAGGGATACTAGATTAATTTAGAAAGCATGTAGCTTTTTGATTATTTCCTTTATACAGTGATAGATTTTAAGGATACTTATAAGAATGTTTTTCCTTAGATGTTTCTTAAGAATCACTTCTTCAGACAGGCATTTGTTGAGAGCTGAACAGAAAAAAAAATAGTCTTCTGAAATCTTTGAAATTCACTTGTTGACTAAGGATCCTAATATTTTGGATAGAAAACAGTAAGTTAACAATAACATTTAACATTCTAGGATGGAAGTAGACAATTTTGACCAGTATTCCCACCTAGTAGACGGATCACTTTCCATATTAGTTCATATCATTTATAAAACTATATCTTTTTTAAAAACTATATCTTTTTTAGTTGTCAGTGAACCTTTATTTTATTTATTGATACGTGGTGCTGAGAATCGAACCCAGTGCCTCACACATGCTAGGCAAGCACTTTGCCACTGAGCCACAACCGCAGCCCCAAAACTATATCTTTATGTAAAAATAAATATTTAGCTACCTAAAAAAGAAAAAGAACAGAGTTCTTGATCAGCTGGCTTAACTCCCTGAAGGTTTTTCTCCTTTGATTAAGAACCTGTGAGAGGGGCTGGGGATGTGGCTCAAGCGGTAGCGCGCTCGCCTGGCATGCGTGCGGACCGGGTTCGATCCTCAGCACCACATACAAACAAAGATGTTGTGTCCTCTGAAAACTAAAAAATAAATATTAAAAATTCTCTCTCTCTCTCTCTCTCTCTCTCAAAAAATATTTAAAAAAAAAAAAGAACCTGTGAGACAATTCCTCAATCTCTTTAAGGAAAATAATTTGGATTAGTTTTTCTTTGGAAGAAGTGTCCCTAATAGATATTTTTTTAAATATCCTGAAAGGACCTGCTCAAGTTTTATTATAAACACACATAAAATTTTTTTGTATTATTCCATATAATTTTGATTCCTGGATCTGCACAACTGTTGAAATTTCCCTTGTTGAGTGAGTAGAAGAGTCATGGTATTTGGATAATAACAACAAACAAAATAGGTACTGTGTTATTTTTTTTTAATCTTCTATATGCTGGTACTGTACTAAACTTTTTATATATGTTACTTTATTGAATGTTCCAATAATAGTTTAGTCTATTTTTATCCCCATATAACTAAGGCAAAAATTAAAACTCAAGTCTTTCTGGAATTATATAACTAAGAAGTGGCAGAGACAGCATGTGAACCCACATCTTTTAACCAGCTTTTATCACTACATTCTGATGCCTGTGAAGGAAATCTGAGTCTTCATGCATTAGCATTTGAGGTCACTATACTCTTTATTTTCCCTAGCATTTTTGACAAAAGTTGCCACTGAGTCATGATACTTTCAACTTCTCTTAAATTCTAGCTTAAATGAGTCATTTTCCTTTTTTAAGAATACAATTTCCTCAAAAAACAAAAACTAGAATAGTTCATATTTTTATGACAGAACAGTTGTACCTTAATTTCTTTTTATACTTAGATTTTATCTAGAAATGAGTTTTTAATATCTCTTCGGTAAGGAGACCATCATCATCTTCCAGTCATTATTGAAATTTGAAGAGGTTCATTTGGTTCTTAAAAGAACTTATTCACCTCGATAATGGTTTTGTAGTTCTCCATGCTCAGCATGCCTACATGCTGAAATAAAAATTTACTTGTGATCAGTGCCACATACCTGTAATCCTGGCTACTTGGAAGGCTGAGCCAGATGGTTCATTTGAACCCAGGAGTTAGGGACCAGCCCTGGCCAAATAGAACCTATCTCAAAAAAAAAATTACTTATGATTTGCTATTTCTATATGTAAACTGTCCCATATGGTAGCTACCAACACATGACTATTTTTAAATTAATATTTTATAAAGTTAAAAATTCAGCTCCTCAAGCATACTCGGCACATTCAAATGCTCAGTAGCCACATGTGGCTGTGATATTAGTGCAAGTTATTGAACATTTCCATTACCACAGGAAGTTCTCTTGGGCAGTGCTGTTCTAGTGGTTACATTTTTCATGCCTCCTCTACCTTCCTCTGTTCCCCAAACAATAATAGCTTCCTTCAAGAATTACTTCTATAGCTTCCATAGCTTATCTTCCCAATGGTTTCGCATGATATTTTACATGGAGGAGTCTTTGTTGGTTCAGTTGTTATTTCTGTGGTACAGGGAAGTATGCTAACCCAGACCAAGTTCATCTTACTAAACTGGCAAGGCCATAAAGTCAGCTAGTTTTCATTTGCCAGATTATATATTGAACCAACAATTTTGGGTAACTGTTACAAGAAGCACTTATAGACCTGTTTTGTTGAATTACTGCAGAGACTACCCCCACCCTTTATTGATTTATAAGTAGTAATGATGCTACTACTGAACCTTACAAATGTGTTAGCTTTTATAACAATTTTGGCTCTGTTTTTTAAAATCATTTTTATTTGTTCTTTTTAGTTATACATGACAGTAGAATGTATATCATGAATACATGGAGTATAACTTCCCATTCTTGTGGTTGTACAAGAAGTGAAGTTACACTGGTCACGTATTCTTATATGAACATAGGAAAGTTATGTCTGATTCATTCTACTGTCTTTCCCATTCCCGTCCTTCCTCCCTCCCCCTCAATTCTCCTCTGTTTACCGGCAAATGCCATAATTTCATTCTTCTTTATAGCTGAGTAATGTTCCATTGTGTATATGTACCACATTTTTTTTTATCCTTTTGTCTATTGAAGGTCACCTAGGTTGGTTCCATAGCTTAGCTATTGTTAATTGAGCTGCTATGAACATTGATGTGACTGTGTCACTACCATATGCTGATTTTAAATCCCTTGGGTATATGCCAAGGAGTGGGATAGCTGGGTCAAATGGTGGTTCCATTCCAGGTTTTCTGAGGAATCTCCATACTGCTTTCCAGAGTGGTTGCACCAATTTGCAGTCCCACCAGCAATGTATGAGTGTACCTTTTCTCCCACATTCTCACCAATATTTATTGTTGCTTGTATTCTTTTTTTTTTTGTGTGTGTGTGTGTGTGTGTGTATGGTGCTGGGGATTGAACCCAGGGCCTTGTGCATGTGAGGCAAGTGCTCTACCAACTGATCTATATCCCCAGCCCATTGCTTGTATTTTTGATAATTGCCATTCTGATTGGAGTGAAGTGAAATCTCAATGTAGTTTTAATTTCTCTACTTTCTAGTGATGTTGAACACTTTTTCATATATCTGTGGGCCATTTATGTTTCTTCTGTGAAATGTCTGTTCAGTCCTTTGTCTACTTATTGATTTTTTTTGGTATTAATTTTTGAGTTCTTCATATGTCCTGGAGATTAATGCTCTATCTGAGATGCAGATGGCAAAGATTTTCTCCCTTTATGCAGGGTCTCTCGTCATGTTCTTGATTGTTTCCTTTGCTGTTAAGAATTTTTTTAGTTTGATATGATCTCATTTATTGATTCTTGATTTTACTTCTTACATTTTAAGAGTCTTGTTGAGGAATTTGGTTCCTAAACCAATATGATGGAGATTTTTTTTTTTTTTTTTGCATCAGGGATTGAACTCAGGGGCACTAGACCTCTGAGCCAGGTCCCCAGACCTGTTTTGTATTTTATTTAGAGATAGGATCTCGCTGAATTGCTTAGCACCTTGCTGTTGCTGAGGCTGGTTTTGAACTCATGATCCTCCTGCCTCAGCCTCTCGAGCTGCTGGGTTTACAGGCCTGCACCACTGCACTCTGCCATGATGGAGATTTGGGCCTACTTTTTCTTTTAGTAGGTAAGGGTCTCTGATCTAATGCCCATGTCCTGGATCTATTTTGTACCTTTATTTATTTATTTATTTTTATTGTGCTGCTGAGGATCAAACCCAGGGCCTCACACATGTCAGGCAAATGCTCTAATACTGAGCCACAACCCAGACCTCTTGATTCACTTTGAGTTGAGTTTTATGTAGGGTAAGAGGTAGGGCTCTAATTTAATTTTATTACATATGGATTTCCAGTTTTCCCAGCACCATTTGTTGAAGAGGCTATCTTTTCTCCAATGTATGCTTATGGCACCTTTGTCTAATAAGAGATAACTGTCTTTATGTGGGTTTATCACTGGGTCTTCTGTTCTGTACCATTGGCCTTCATGTCTGTTTTGGTGACAATACCATGCCATTTTGGTTTCTATAGCTCTGTAGTATAATTTAAGGTCTGGTATTGTGATACCTCCTGCTTCACTTTTCTTGCTGAGAATTGCTTTGGCTATTCTGGGCCTCTTATTTTTCAAATGAGTTTCATGACTAATTTTTCTATTTCTATGAAGAATGGCATTAGAATTTTAATGGGAACTGCATTAAATCTGTATAGCACTTTTGGTAGTATGGCCATTTTGACAATATTAATTCTGCTATCCAGGAACATGAGAGATCTTTCTAACTTCTAAGGTCTTCTTCAAGTTCTTTCTTTAGTACTCTATAGTTTTCATTGTAGAGGTCTTTCACCTCTTTTGTTAGATTGACTCCTAAGTATTTTATTTTAATTTTTTTTAAGGCCATGGTGAATTCGGGATAGTTGTCCTATTTTCTCTTTCAGTTGATTCATCACTTATGTTTAGGAATGTAATTGATTTATGGTGTTAATTTTGTATCCTGCTACTTAAGTTCTAGAAGTTTTCTGGTGGTGTTTGTTGGGTCTTCTAAATATAGAATCATGTCGTCAGCAAATAGGGATAGATTGAGTTCTTCTTTTTCTATTCAGAGTCCTTCAATTTCTTTCTTCTAATTGCTCTGGCTAGAGTTTCCAGGACTATATTGAATAGAAGTGGTGAAAGAGGGCATCCCTGTGTTCTAGTTCTTAAAGGGAATGCTTTCAATTTTCCTCCTTTTAGAATGATGTTGGCCTTAGGCTTAGCATATATAGCTTTTACAATGTTGAGTTATGTTCCTACTATCCCTAGTTTTTCTAGTGTTTTGAACATGAATTGATGCTGTATTTTGTCATTGCTTTTTCTGCACCTATTGAGATGATCATGTGATTCTTGTCTTTAAATCTATTGATGTGATGAATTATGTTTATTGATTTCTGTATGCTGAACCAACCTTGCATCTCTGGGATGAATCCCACTTGATCATGGTACACTATCTTTTTAATATATTTTTGAATGCAATTTTTGGCTGTGTTTTTTAAAAGTAGCTTTATTAAGGTATGATTGACATACAGAAAGCTGCAGATATTTAACGTATACAATTTGATGAGCTTGTTGACCATCTTATTGACATAGTTCACAATAGGACTACTCAGACTATTGATTCCTTTTATTAATGTACATAACTTGAGAAGAAAAAATGTTTTTTAAAGATCAGACTCTTTTAATGTATCCTGATTGGCTTTGATTGCTATTAAAAGAATGTGTGTATGTGTGTGTGTGTGTGTGTGTGTGTAAAAGATTATATAGCCTGGTGTGGTGGCACATTCTTGTAATCCCAGCTGCTTGGGAGGCTGAGGCAGGAGGATCACAAGTTCAAAGCCAGCCTCAGCAACTTAGCAAGGTCCTAAGCAATTTAGTGAGACCCTGTCTCTAAATAAATAAATAAATAAATAAATAAATAAATATAAATAAATTTTAAAAGGGCTGAGGATGTGACTGAATGGTTGAGAGGCCCTGATTCAATCCCTTGTATAAAAAAAAAAAAAGAACATGCACATTCTTCATCTTTTTTCCATTTATTGGTTCTAAAATAACCTTGGTACATGGACAAATTAATATAAGCCCACATGTGGTACCCTCAGACCTACAGTTAATGTACCAATACTACATTGGCCTTGAGTACTCCTATTTTATATGGATAAACTTTTTTGGTACATCTTTTCTGCAACGATGTTCCACAATAAACTCATTTGGAGAAATTTATTGACTATGTTTTCAGTGATATTTTAGTGTTTGAGCATATAGTACATATAGTACACACACCTTTGTTGTGTATAAAATAATCCTGGAAAGTGTCTTTTTCCAAATGAGTAAAGCAGTGTGTAATACTTAGTAGTGGTCAGGTTTGGACCCTACAGAACTACATAAAGCAGGCAACTATGTTCCATCTCTTGGCTGTGCAAATTATCTCAGAGAGAGAGAAAGCAGATGTCTGTGTAGAATGTTCTTGGTCACTGGACACCTAATAATCAAGGTCTTATATTGACCATTATTGTTCTAGTTTCGAGGATTTGGGGACATTTCCCAAGTTCAAAAGAATCATGGTCAGTATTTGTAAAGTGTTGGTAACTGTGAAGTAAAATGATGGGGAATACGGTAGTAAATTATATTTCTCTCCACTTTGGCATAACTTTTTAAGAATTTAAAGAGTAAAGAAATGCCATGGTACATGCCAGTAGGTCAGGAAGCTGAGGCAGGAGGATCACAAGTTCAAAGCCAGCCTCAGCAACTTAGTGAGGCCCCACGCCACTCAGTGAGACCCTGACTCAAAATATATAAAGGGCAGGGGATGTGGCTCAGTGGTTGAGTGCCCAGTTCTAAAAATTTTTTTAAATGAAAAGAAATGCAAGAGCCCTTTGGGAGAATTTAATACAGTTGTTTTTTCTGATGATAATAATAAGACTTCCTACTAAAACCACAATTTGCTTGGATTTATTAAGAGTCCTTTTGGAGCCCCATCTTAATTGAATGTCAGAAGTTGAGTAAAACAATGAAAGAATGCTGTACCTTATTTAAACATAGCAATAAATTACTCTTCCACACTCACTTTTGACATACCAAAAAAAGGTCAGTAACATGCTACTATTATACAAAGCAATTAGATTTATGTAATATTGTCTTATATATTTATATTTGTTAGTCACTAGATTATTAATCTCATGCACTGTTTTGGTGTTACAAGTCATGTTGCCACTGTTCATCGGTTTTAGAAACTATTTCCCTGACTTTGATTTGTTTTTATCATGTCAGACATATTGCTGAACAGCAAGAAAAGGGTTAAAAAAATAGTTCTAATGAATAAAAGATGTGACATTCGTCTGCATGCATTTTTGTAGTATTGATCACACCATAATTCTATTTTGAGTCCCTCATTTAATAGCAATAATAATGTTTTCATGACTATCACAGCTTCTCTCTCTCTCTCTCTCTCTCTCTCTCTCTCTCTCTCTCTCTCACACACACACACACACACACACACACACACACACACACACACCTCTCAAGCTGCCAGTCTGTCTTAAGGCAGTGGCAGACGCCTGATTGGCAGGCTCTGTTTATTCTGTGACCAGATTCCTTCTAAAAGAAGGCTGGCCATGACTGCCTGAAGCCTATTGGCTGGGCATACTCAGGACCCTCCCCCTCCCCCCACCCCCGCTTTTTTTTTTTTTTTTTCCATGGCACACACCACAGCAAAGTCTGTGCGGAATCCTAAACCAGCCCAATTTACATCCATTCATGAATCTGTGACGTCAGCAAGCCTTTGGGCTCCTTTGCGGTGGGCTGGAGGATTGTGCGGGTGGAATCCCCCTCCCCTTTATTTTTCTAATTCTGCAAGTCTCTTTAATAACCTTCCATCTTTTTAAAGCAAGAAAATGGAACAGCATGTGTAGGAATTCTTCATTGTTGTGAGTATTGCACTCTATTTTTCTGTTTCATCACGATTTATCTCACAAGGACAGATGGAGAATGTATTTGTGATTTGGGGTGATTAGAAAATTGATATTATTGAGGGAGAGAGGGTGAGAGAGACAGAGGCGGAGAGAAACCTGAAACCCGGTTACAGCTAGGAGCCGCTGAAACTGACAGCTGGTTTTCCTTTGCTTGTCTGCCTGCTAGACGTGGACATTTTTCATTTACGGATCTGCACGTTACCTCTGGATGCTGGCTTGGCTTTCCTTAAAGGGAGATTCATTTCTCTTTGAGATGATGTGGGTGGTATTAGAGGAAAAGCAGAGAACACTAGAAAGGTGCTGTGGAAAGTGGGACTAGCAAGGCAGAGCAGGTTCTATCCTGTGGAGCACTCGCCTTCGCTGCCGCGGTCCTTTCCATCCTTATTCACCCTTCACCTTGCCTTTGTTTCATAATTGTGTAACAATCAATAACTTGAGAGCCCACTTTGGGGAAGATGAATACTTCTTGCTAACCATTTTTCAGCAGCTTTCATGATGGGAGTTATAGGGTTATATTTATATGTATTTGGAGCTCTTCTTATGTCACTCCATATACTTTATTTATATCATCAAAGATCTAAAAACCTGCACCAGAAGCAAAAGAGAAATTACCCTTAAATTCTAATTTTTAAAAATACCCCTAATGAAGTGATTTCCTGCTAAGCTCCAAAATTATATTGCATAGAAATGAAGATGAATATTTTTCTAAGATGAACTTCCAACTTTAGTTTATTACACTGTGTTTGGGAAATATGGAAAAGTTCTGTTGTGTGACATGTATGAAGCTGATTTTATCGTTTGCTTGTCGTTTTAACAAAAAGTATCTGTGATTGAATTTATTTTCCAAGCCTCTGTTTATTCTGGTGGAAGTTATGATACTAAAAAAGAGGGATGTGACATTGTGACATGTTCTACCCCTGGGGCAACTCCTCAACCCAAATAATCTTGTAGCATTTTCCAACTATCTCACTTTGAGTATTTTATATGCTAGTCAGCAACATGCCCTTGTTTTTTCTTTCTAGTGAGAGAGACATCAAAATGCCAGTTATTTATTATCTAGCCTTATGTTTACCTTGTGCAATCAATATAGTTTGAGACTTTCATATTATAATATTTTCTCATGAGCAGTGCTTCTAAATTATAGCTCTAATGATATCTTTTGAATTGTTCTTAATGAATCTTCTAACTGTAAACTAATTTAATTTCAAAATTATCATACCTAAGGATGTAACACTTTCTTTTGTTTCTCAGATTGGCATCTCACTTCCTGATTTTGTTTTTCTGAGTGTATTGAACTTGCTCAAGTTATGGAAGGGAAAACCTCTCCCTAATTTCATATCAAATCTTTGTCCTATACTCAGACTGTTGTGGTTTATTTGCTGGGTTGAACAAACAAGATAATGTTTCAGACAAAACTCCCTATATTTGTAAACATCGTCACTTATTTCAGCGTTTTCCTTTTTTTGTGTGTACCTTTAGAGACTTTGAAAGTAGCAATTTCAAGCTTATTTTTAATTATTGATGTTTACCAGATCAAAGATCAAATTCTTGACATTTAAAAAATATTGTGTTTTTGGGCGGGAGGTATAGCTCAGTGGTAGTGCATGAGGCCCTGGGTTTAGTCCCTAGCACTGGAAAAAAAAATATTGTGTCTATATAACTAAACTCATATTAAAAAATGTTCACCAGGGGTTGGTGATGAAACTCCATGGTAGAATGCTTGCCTAGCATGCACAAGACCCTGAGTTCAATTCCCAGCACCCCCCCCCAAAAAAAAAGAAAGAAAGAAATGTTCACTAGACTCTTCTATGCACATCTTGCCAAAAGAGAGTTTTACTTCCTTGAAAGAAATACAGTCTGCACTTGGATTTGTTAAAGTAAAACTGTCCCTTTAAGGCACAGGGTGGATGTAGAATCCCCTTTCTCCCTACTCCTAGTGGCTATGTTCCAGATTATATTTATTTTCATGTATAGTGTACTTGTAGGGAAAAAAAACAATAACTCTTAATTGTTTAATATCAAACAATAAAATCCTGTGTATCAGTGACTGTCAATAGATGGCTTTCTGTTTAAAAATTGAAACTACTCCAGAAGAAGGAATTAATTTATTTAGTAAACAAAGTCAGTCAAACCAGAACCATGTCCTGGGGAACTGTCAAAAGAATGGTTCCTAAGGGCCAGAGGCCACATACACTGGTATATGACAGAACAACCATACTTTGATGGTGGAACCGGTCAGTTTGGTTTGCTCTGTCTACCTGCCTTCTTTCTGTGTGCTACAGCTGAATTAATTGCTTGGGGAGCTCAAATGAATCAAGATAGCCAAGACAACAAATCTGCCAAGTGGCAACCTGACTCTTATAATTTTGATTAAAATGAAGATTCCCCAAGAATACTCAGCTGCTCCAAAACAAACAAAAAGTCATTCAAATATAACACACTCCTATTCTGTACTGGTTATTATTCTGTAAAGATATGGAAGAGACAAAGATTTAGAAGATACAATCTTTACTCCCAAGGAATCTAGAAGGTTAGTTATCAGAAATAGGCTTTAACATTAGAATTACCTGTGGAACTTTTCCTCCCTCTCCCTCCCTCCCTCCCTTCCTTGCTCTTATTTTCACTACTCAGTAGTTCTCAGTATTCACAGAGTTGAGCAAACATCTCCACAATCAACTCTAGAACATTTTCCTCATCACAAAAAGAAACCACATACCCATTAGCAGTCACTCCTCATTTCTCCTAACACCCAGCCCTAGACAACCATGGAGCTACTTTTTCTATGAATAGATTTGCCTATTCTGGACATTCATATAAATGAAATCATATAATATGTGGTCTTTTGTGTTTAGCTTCTTTATCTTCTTAATGTAGTGTTTTCAAAGTTCATCCATGTTATAGCATGGATCAGTACTTTATATCTTTTTATTGCCAAATAATATTTTACTTACCTTTCATCTGTTGATGGACATTTGGATTGTCTGTGCTTTTTTGCTGTTAGTAATACATTCATGTACAAGTTTTGTATGAGCATGTTTTCATTTTGGGAGTGGAATTTCTGGGTCGTATAATAACTATAGGCTTAACATTTTGAGGAGATACTGGTTTCCAAGTGGCTGCAGCATTTTACATTTCCATCAGCAATGTATTAGGCTTCCAATTTCTCCACATTCTTGTGAGCATCTGTTAATGTCTATCTTTTTAAATAGAGCAATTTTAATGAATTTGAAGTGTTATTTCCTTGTGGTTTTGGTTTGTATTTCCCCAATAATTAATGATGCTGAGCATTTTTTTTTTGTACTGGATATTGAATTTAGGAGCGCTTTACCACTGAGCTCCATCCCCAGCCCTATTTTGTATTTTATTTAGAGACAGGGTGTCACTGAGTTGCTTAGTACCTCGAAGTGGCTGAGGCTAGCTTTTAACTCTCCATCCTCCTGCCTCAGCCTCCCGAGCTGCTGGGATTACAGGCATGCACCAAGCTCAGCTCAAGCATCTTTTTAATGTGCTTATTGCCTAGCTGTGTATTTTTTTTTTGGTAGAAATGTCTATTCAAACCCTTTGCCTATGTTAAAAATTAAATAATTTATGTTTTTATTATTAAGAGTCCTTTCCATATGCTGGATACAAGCTCTTTATCAAATATATGATTTGCAGATATTTTCTCACTCTCTGAGGTGTCTTTTTCACTTTCTTGATGATAGCATTTAAAATTTAGTTTATTATTTTTTCTTTTGTTATTTGTGCTTTTGGTGTCATATCAAAAGCAGTGTTGCCTAACTCAAGTTCATTAAGATTTTCTTTTATGTTTTCTTCTAAGCATTTATATTTTTAACTCTACATTTAGGTCTATAATCCATTTTGAGTTAATTTTTCATATGGTATAAGAAAGAGGTTTAACTTCATTCTTTTAATGTGGCTATCCAGTTGTTCCAGTAATATTTATTTAAAAGACTGTTATTCCCCTTGTTGAAATATCTTGGCATCTTATCAGAAAATTAAAAGAAATTGATGATGCCATAATTACCCCTCTAGAGATTCATATTTAATTGGTCTGTGGTGGGGCCCAGTCATCTGTATTTCTTAAAAGCTCCTCTGATGATTCTAATGTGTATCCAGGGCTGAAAACTATTGGCATGAATACAGGGTTAGTCTTAGAAAAGAAGAGAGACACTTTCTGAATCAGGAGAGAGAATGAGCAAAAACATGGAGTTCTGACCTGAAAGGAGGGAAGAAAGGAAAATTAAGAAGATTCATACCAGAAAGCATAGAATTTCTTGTTAATCGGGGAGTGGAGGTATCATTAGAGGTTTTGTGAAATATGTCAAATTAAAGGAAGATGGGGAGCTAATATTTATTAAGCACTTTCTACATGCCTTTAAAACTGCTAGGAGTTTTTACATATATAATTTTATTTAAAATATAATCCTCATGATATGAACTAGGTGCTTTTATCCCCATTTTATTTTCCCATTGAGGAAAAAGACTTAGAAAGGCTGCTGACTCAACCAGAGATACCAGGTCGTGGATGTTATACTCCATTTTCAAACACAGCTCTAATTCTTAATCCTATTCTATTTCTTCTGTATACCACGGAGTTTGAGTATTGAGTAAATTTAATAACTTCTCTAGCACTGCTATGGGCTGGACAAAGATAAGTTGGAGGATGGTGGTCACAAAAGGTTGAGGGTTGGTACAGCAGGTGCATCCATGGGGGAGATAAGATGATAGAAGTAAAGAGGATTATCATGTCACAGATAATTGCGGTGAGCCCCAACTGGCTTGAGGGTCTAAGGGTAACATAATGGCAATGAAAGAATGTTTGAAAAGGATGACAGGGAAACCATGAGGGGATAGACAATGAACCAAATAGAACTGGCAACTGTAGAGGAGGTGGTATTCATTTTTTCATTCATTTAAGCAACACATTCGAGTATTTATTATGTGTTCTAGGT